CATACTGGCGCTGTATAGGGGTTCTGAGACTATAGATCTTTGCAGGAGCAGAAAGCCTCTTCTTTCTCCTGCAGAGCAGTGGGTCAGCTCAAACTGCTGACCTTGTGTTCACAGTCTAGTGCTTTTATCTACATAGCTAATGTGCTCCACACACATATATATATGTTTGCTTTTTAGTAGTGAATGAATTTGCCTCCTTGCTAAGAGACTAATTATGAGTTAAATATAAATCATATTTCATTAAGGCCAGGTTTTACAAATGTACTTAATTCTTTATAAATATGATAGTTGTGTTTCCTCATTTTTTTCCTGAAATAGATTTGAACAACTGACCTTGCAGTTAGAAGTTCAACTCGTAACCCACTATGTTACCAGGGCTACTTTTACAAATATACTTAACTATTATTGATGTTTCGAGCTTAATCAAGAGTATATATAATGAACCCTATGTACTCCCCACCAAACTTCAACATTTACTAAGTCTAACATTTTACTGTTTTTAAAAATTATCTCACATTTTTGAAAGCACTAAAAATTCACAGATCTCTTTTTAATTAATTCTGCATTGATTCATTGTTTTCTGCCTCTTGACATTTTTTCTCACTGATAAATTCTGCTTTGTGACACCAGTTTCTTCTCAGATGACTTAACAGATTTCCATTCCAATGTAATGTAACAGTACATAAGCAAAGTCAAATGTAGTGTAGAGTGGCCTACAGTAAATTGACCCAAGCTAGTCTTCTGGATCTGCCCACACAATTTTTCTCTATATGAGTATTCAGAGTAGGCCCCAAAAGTGGCAGAAGATAAGACCAAGCCTCTCATTCATTTGTATGGACTGCCATTGCTGTGCTATAATCAGGCTTGAAATGAATAGTATTTCTTATCAGATGTAGTAGGACTGCCAACTTGGTAACCTTCTAACTTATGTAAATATGAGTAATATGGCTCCTGAATGAAAAGCTTTCCAGACCTATCTTCCCTTTTCCTGGTTACTATGGTTTTTTATTTTGGAATAATTTTGAACTCTTCTCTGCCAACTTCCCACATCCAGTCAGTTTCCGAATTTCTCATGTGCCCATTCTCTCTTTATTCCTATTATCACCTAATTTTGACCCTTCTAATCGTACCAGACTCTTGCTTCGTAGAAATCTTACATAGGGTCGCTATTAGTCAGAACCCATTCATCAGCACTTACACAATGACAACAACAATAGCAATTACACCGGTATATTACTAATGGCCCTGTTTCCACTCTAGTCACAGCGCATAACCAGATTAATCTTCTATAAGGCAATTCAGATCATCCCTTTGCAAATTTCTGAACTGTGTCTCTACTGTTTATTGAATTAAATGTGAATGCTTGCCTCTTCCCTAAAATCCAGTGACCCAAGACCCCTACAACATAGTCCAATTCATTTTTTTCTACCTACCAAATCCTGTCATTCAATCACATTAAATACCCACTTTTCCATAAATATTCTTTGTGTTTTCTTGCTTAGACCCTTTGCTCATGCCTCCCCACTGCCTAGAATTTACCTTCCTTTCTCCATCTCTACCTCTCAAATTTTTCCTCTTCTCCCATGACCCATTCTCATTATAGTCTCTTTTATAATGGCTTTCCTAATCAAAGGAAATAAGCTTTTCCTTTGACTTCCATGTGTGTTTGATCTCTTACAAAGGTTCTTCTACTTTTTGTGCTGCCTAGCTTACCACCTCTAGGTAATAGTAACATCTGTGTCTTTGTGCCCCTTGAAGTGCCTGCTGCACTGTACATGCTACCAGATAAGTAATAACTGTTTATGAAATGAAAAGTTAAGTTACGCAGCCTATGGAATGGAGATCACCCCTGAGGATGCTTCTAATGTGCTGTTTCTACCTTGGAGAAACCCCATTGAATTAAGCTCATCTCTCCTGGACTTGAGGACAATTACTCAACCTTGTACTCATCAATTTCCTTCACTTAAGAGAGAGCAAAAAGTGTATGCACTGAGTTTTTATATCATAAACATATGTCCAAGGATATCTCAAATCAAACAAGTAAAACTCCTGTCATCAAGTCAATTCTGACTCAAAACAACTATAGGATAAAGAACTCCACCATAGGGTTTCTATAGCTGTAAATCTTTTTTGGAGCAGAGGCCCACATCTTTCTTCTGCAAAGTAGCTGATGAGTTCAAACCACCTAACCTTTGGTCAGCAACCAAGTGCTTAATCACTGTACCACCAGTGTCCCAAATAGCCTTTACCATTTGACAGTGATTGATTTCTTAGTTATCTCTAAGTCTGTCATAGTCAGTTACTAATTAAAGATGTATTTGTACTTTTATCGTGTATTAACTAGAAAAATGGTGAAGAAAGTCCAGAAGCTGTCTCTTTGTATAAAAATCAAATTTATTTTTCAGCATGTTTTTTATTTTGATGAAGTCTTTGGTGAAGCGTGCACCAATCGGGATATATATATGAAGACCACTCATCCACTCATTCAACATATTTTCAATGGGTACGATAGCAATTACTTGCTTCTCTTTTAATTTTTTATTTTCTATAAATCATAAGTATCACATGCTTTTTAATTCTTTTGAATTAAACATGACCTTGTGTTTTGATCTAATGAATTTAAATTGGATGCTTCTGAAAAGTGAGATCTCTATTTATAGAATTTATCAAGCATTCAGAAATTTTGCAGCAAAATTTCTTCTTACACTGATGATATTGATTCTATGTGCTTAGTGGAAAAATTAAAAGCTATCAACAATATAATTTCATCAGAGTCCTCAGAATAAAAAGGTTTAAGTGGTGGTAGGCTGAATTTTTTATAATAAGAATGACCTATTCTGGCTCTAGTTCAGTTAATTTTTTTGTTAATAAATCTCAGGTATCAGCTTTTCATAGATGTATTTTAGATTTTTGGAATTCATGCCTACTTAGTAAACATTTAATGGAAGAGAGACTTATAAGAGACCTGTTATATATGAGGGGGTTTCCAAAAGTTCATGGAAAAGTGGAACTGAAAGTTAATAGAGTTTTTCATGACATTTTTGAAGCCCCCTTGTATTTTACAATGTAGTGTTATATGGGTAAAAACGCCAAACCGTCAACTAAAATCACTGATTATGTTGTTTTTGTTTTTATTATGGTAAAATAAAGCATGTTGTTGTTGTTGTGAAGTGCTGTCGAGTCGATTCCGACCCATAGCGACCCTGTATAGGGTTTCCAAGGAGCAGCTGGTGAGCTTGAACCGCCGACCTTGCAGTTCAAACGACTTTGCAGTCTGGAGCATTAACCTACAGCACCACACCAGGACTCCAGAATAAAGCATACCAGTTGCCGTTGTAATTGTAGCCATTTTTCAGTGTACGATTCAGTGACATTACTTATAATTACAGTGCTCGGCAACCGGCATCACTATTTATTTCCAGAACTTTGTCATCCCCCCAAGCAGAAACTATACCCATTACACATTAACTCCCCATCGATTCCTCCCTCAACCATGGTAACCACTAATCTGCTTTCTGCCTTTATGCATTTGCCTATTCTGGATTTCATATTAACTGGTATCTTTGAGGTATTTTGACTTTTAAAAAAAAATAACTTTTGATAGAATTGAGGTATAATTCACATACTTTGAGATGTTTAGTTTTCAGGTTTGATGAGTTTTGATAGCTGTGTATATTTAAATAAACAATACTCAAAACAAGATGTAGAGCATTTCCCTCATCCCTGAAAGTTCTCTTTTGTCCCTTTTTACTTAATTCCTTCCCTCTATCCCTAGATCCCATGTAACTAGTGATCTGTTTTCTGTCACTGTAGGTTAGTTTCTCAGTTCTAATCAGAAATGGTGTCCTGGTGTGATGCCACAGGATAAGCATTTGACTTTAAGGTCGGTTTGAATTGCAGGTTGGCCATTCAGACTCACAAGCCGCTCCTCTGAAACCCTGCACAGGGGCTGTATGAGTTGGAACCAACTTGAGGGCTCTTAAAAACAACAGCACAGTAATCATAGAACTGAAATCATTGTAAAAGGTACATTACTTATGTCTGCAGTCTTTCACTTGGTGGTGGTGGTGTTTATGTGTGGTGGAGTCAGATCCGACTCATAGCCACCCTCTATAGGGTTTCTGAAACTGTAAATCAGTACCAGAGCAGAAAGCCTCATCTTTCTTCCACGGAGCAACTGATAGTTTCTAACTGCTGACCTTGTGGTTAGCACTCCAACTAGTAACCCACTACACTACCAGAGCTCCTTTTGCTTAGTATATGTTGTTGTTAAGTGCTGTCGAGTTGGTTCTGTCGAGTAGGGTTTCTGAGGAGCAGTTGGTAAGTTTGAACCACCGACTGGTTAACAGTCCAGTGTTTACCCTAAAGCATTATACCAGGACTCCTATATTTACCATGTTGTTGTTGTCGTCAAGTGCTATCAAGTTGGTTCTGACCCACAGCAACCCTGTATAGGGTTTCTGAGGAGTGGCTGGTGAGTTTGAACCACTGACCTTTTGGTTCAGACCGACTTGGTATACCAGCGCATTAACCCACAGCGCCACACCAATAAATAAATAAAGAAGAAAAACAACTAACAAAAAAAAAAAATATACACTAAACAAGGATTCCTGGTGTGTCACTGTAGAATAAGCACTCGACCACAAGGCTGGTTTGAACTGCAAGGTTGGCAATTCAAACTTACCAGGTTGTGTTATCTGCATATCACAAGTTGTTATGGGATTCTTCCTCCAATTGTGATGTCACATTCTTCTTCATGTAATCCAGCTTTCTGTATTATTTGCTCAGAATACAGATTGAATAATTGTGAAAAGATACTACCTTGGCACACACCTTTCCTTATTTTGAGCCATTCAGTAGCCCATTATTCTGTTCAAACAACTGCCTCTTGGTCAGTGTACAGGTTACTCATGAGTACAATTAAGTGTTCTGGAATTTTCATTCTTCATTATGTTATCCATAGTTTGTTATGATTCATGCAGCCAAACATTACTACTTAACAGTGCATGATGTACCCCACAACACTCTGGTGACTTTGGTCTCCAACTCCTCTTACAGCATACTGTAGTCAGCAGGTAGATCTCCCAGCTCTCCTCTCTCTTATTCTTCATTTCTTCAACTCATCCAGGGTGCGTGCACACACACATGCACGTGCATGAATAGTGTTTCTCTCTTAGAATCAGTCACAAGACTTTAGGGCTAGTGGGATCGTAGAGCTCAAGAAAGTTCAGATCCATTAATTAACTGATGTGAGACCCTGAAAGACGTGATTTGCCAAAGTCATGTAGTTAGTTAATGGCAGCACTGAGACCAGAACCCAGGTTTCTGACCTCCAGATTTGGTGTGTCTGCTTTTACTATTCTAACCACAGTGGAGGCGCTCTGCCTTCTTAGCTTCTCCCTGCTCTTATGTGTATCCTTCTGTAAAATCTTTGCTTACATTGATTTTATCTTTGTATAAACTTCCTTAATGAGTAGTAACTACCATCCTGTTTAAGGAGCTCTGGTAGCCTAGTGGTTACGAATCGGGCTGCGAACCTTAAGGTCAGCGGTTCGAAACTACCAGCCGCTCCGCGGGAGAAAGATGAGGCTTTCTACTCCCGTAAGGATTTACACCCTCGGAAACCCTGTACAGGGTCGCTATGGGTCGGAACCGACTCGACGGCACTTAACAACAACAACAACCATCCTGTTTATGATTTTGTATAATTTGTTGTATTTATCCTAATTCTCTATTACTTCTTTCACAAACCTTACCTTCAGACTTAATCCAATTTTTCTAGAATCCCCTAAAACACCTTATCTTCCAGAGTTTTAAGATGGACTTACCAGTTCTGTAAAAAATAATTCTGTAAGAAAATTCATGTAGTGCTTTGAGAATGTTTTTTCATCTTTATATGTTTATATAATGTTAAGTCCTTTTCTTGACAGGGTTATATATGTTTACAACTGATTTTTGCCAAAGATTGTATGTGTTTACCATTAAAACTCTATGTGTAGATTAATACTTCTTATTAAAATGCATAAGTGATGCAAATTATTCTTTCCTCAGAGGCAATGCCACTTGCTTTGCATATGGACAGACAGGTGCTGGGAAGACCTACACCATGATAGGAACCCATCAGAACCCAGGATTGTACGCTTTGGCAGCCAAAGATATCTTCAGACACCTAGAAGTGTCCCAGCCAAGAAGACACTTCTTTGTGTGGATCAGCTTCTATGAAATCTACTGTGGACAGCTTTATGACCTCCTAAATCGAAGAAAAAGGTATTGGGTATGAGTGGCAAACTGAGAAATCTGTTTGCTGTTGTTTTAAGCTAGAGTCTGAGAAATTAGTAAATGATGGCGTTTATTGAGAGGTCTTAGTGGTGAAATTTGAGTCTCTGGCATCAGACACATGCTTTTTAAAGCTGTTTTAGCTGGAGAAAAAATGTAAATTAGCCTTCTATTACTATTTTTTAAGTGATTAATTTTCTATGTCTCTCAAAAGACTTCTTTTATTTTGGTCTATTAAAAAAGTCATAATTTCAAGATGTCAGAAAATCAACATGTATTAAAATCCCTTCATTTTCTTTTGACCTATATTAATTACACTGAGAAAACTATAAATAATACTTCCCACTTTCTCTTGTTTTTCTTCTCACTAATCTTAGGGTAAATTTAATGATGGTTTTCAGAAATCAGTAAAAAGAAAAGCCAACCTCTTTTCTTCACATTATACTTTTTGGGTCTTTATAAGGCTTTAACTGTTGCCATTATAACATAATACAGTTTAGAAGTGTATTCAGTAACTTTGGCTTTAAATCTGTATTTAATTTTTCTTGCATTAAGTTTTGTTTAGATTGAAACTGAATAGGACATCTTGGTGTGTTACATCCAAGTTGTGACGGGATGGACTGATTAGGAGGATAGGGAAGGGAGAGAGGAAGTAGGAGAGGTGGGAAGATAAAAGATTGTCACAACAGAATTAACAGATATATTGGGAGCGACTATACCAAGCAGAAGGGAGTGAGTTGAGGCTGAGTATGTCGGAAGGCTGGGGAAACTAAGTCAGTATAAGCAATTAATCACCCAATAAAGATATTCAACCCTCTGTGGAGCTGTCCAAAAGAATATACAAACTCCACGTGCTCCAGATAAACACTGAAATGAAGCAGGCGTTGGGGTAAGTCCAGTTTAATAGTTAGAGCATGATCTGGAAGGCCCCTATTGTAGAGGGCACTGGGGTATTGAATAGCATCACTGAAGCCAGCGTGGCTGTAGACAGGCCGCCATCTGGGTTGGCTGTTGAGTGAACGCAGTCCCTTAGAGTATGCTGTAGTTCAGAGGATGTTACCTATTCAGGTTCAGTCCTGATATGACAACTGCCCAATAAAGAAGGGTGCTACTGTAGGGATTGTTATTGTGTGCTATTGAGTCAGTTCCAACTCATAGCAACCCTGTATAGGATTTCCAAGCCTGTATCGTCTTCACAGGAGCAGAAAGCCTTCTCTTTCTCCCATGGAATGACTGGTGGGTTAGGGGTGCTACGGTCCAAAGTTGCCTTTCTTCTTTTCCTTCCAGGTTGGTATTGAGGCCCTGCGTTTTAGTCACAGTTTCTTTTCCAAGTCCTAATACCTTCACTAAGGATCTCTAGTAGCACAGTGGTTATGAATCAGGCTGCTAACCTCAAGGTTGGCAGTTCGAAACTACCAGCCATTCCACGGGAGAAAGTTGAGGCTTTCTGCTCCCATAAATATTTACAGCCTCGGAAACCCTGTGCAGGGTCGCTATGAGTTGGAACCCACTCCACGGCACTTAACAACAACAACAATACCTTCACTGGAGTCCTGGTGTGGCACTGTCAAATAAGCACTGGACTGCTAACCACCGAGTTGGCAATTCAAACCCACCAGCTAGCTTGAGAATAAGCCACTGCTGTGTGTGAAGGGGCAGTCAGAGGATACCCTTCTTTAATGAATTACCTTGGTTATTGGCCTGGATATTTACATTCTTTACTCATAGCCAAACGATGGGAATATGCCAACTCCTGAGCATGAGACTTCTCGAGGCTCTCTAGAGAAGACCTACATTTAATCTGCAAGTATATTAGTTTTTTTTTTGCTTGATTTTTGTTGTCATTTTTAATATGACAGGTTAATTGGTTAGTATTATCTTTTTGTTTCCTTTGTCCCTTTCAGGGAGTTCTGAAGCATTCACTTCCATTCATAGCACCCTGTCTTGTGTTTTTAGAGCTGCTACATTAATCTTGTTTGTGTTTTTTTTTTAAACAGCTTATACCTTCCTGGTCTCTGTCTTTAGTCTTCACCTCTCTCCCTTTTCCTCAGCAGTACACCTGACATTGAGCAGACACCCTAGATGTGCAATGTGTCTGAAGCCAAGAGCTGCTGCAGGTTTTCTGCTTCTGGGCACTCACTGTCTCTTTTAATGACCTTGCGTGAGCCCTGCTTTAGTTCATGCCTTCACTGTCTCTTAGCTAGGCTGCTGCAGTACTGACTTAACTGGTCTTCCTGCTTCCAGTCTCATCCAACACAATTTCATCCATCCAGAAGAGGTTTTCTAAACAAATCTGACCATGTCACCACATGCTTAAAGTACTCCCATGTCCCTATCATCTGCTAGAAAAAAAAAAAATCATGCAGATTAGACAGGCTTTTGGCCCTTGCCCAGAGCCTCTCTGGGTAGCATAAATGGATTGTGCTCAACTACTGACTACTAAGGAATCTTGGTATGGCACTGTAGTATTCGCACTGGACTGCTAACCACAAAGTCTGCAGTTCAAACCCACCAGCTGCTCCTTGGAAGCCCTATACAGGGTCACTATGAGTCAGAAGTATAAGTATTCCTGAACACTTAATTGTGTTCATGAGGAATCTGTACTGGACTACGAGGCAGTTGTTTGAACAGAACATGGAAACACTGAATGGTTTAAAATTAAGAAAGATGTGCGACAGGGTTGTGTTCTTTCACTATACTTAGTCAACCTGTATGCTGAGCAAATAATCTGAGAAGCTGGGTTCTATGAAGAAAAGCATGGCATCAGGATTGCAGGCAGACTCATTAACAACCTGTGATACGCAGATGATACAACCTTGCTTGTTGAAAGTGAAGAGGACTTAAAGTATTTACTGATGAAGATCAAAGAGCACAGCCTTCGGTATGGATTACATCTCCATATAAAGAAAACAAAAATCCTCACCACTGGACCAATGAACAACACTCTTACCAACGGAGAAAAGATTGAAGTTGTCAAGGACTTCATTCTTCTTGGATCAACTATCAACACTCATAGAAGCAGCAGTCAAGAAATTAGATGATGTATTGCATTAAGCAAATCTGCTGCACAAGACTTTTTTTTTTTTTTAATGTTTTATTGTGAATTATGTGATAGCTTACATGGGAGAACATTAAAGTGTTGAAGAGCAAAGATGTCAGTTTGAGGACTAAGGTACGCCTGACCCAAGCCATGGTATTTTCATTAACCTCATATGTATGCGAAAACAGGGCAGTGAATAAGGAAGACCATAGAAGAATTGATGCTTTTGAGTTATGATGTTGGAGGAGAATATTGAAAGTGCCAAAAGAACAAAGAGATCTGTGTTGGAAGAAGTGCACCCAGAGTGCTCCTTGGAGGCTAGGATGACCAAACTTCGTCTCTCATACTTCAGACATATTGTCAGGAGGGACAAGTTGCTGGAGAAGGATTTCATGTTTGCTAAGGTGGAGGGTCAGAGGAAAAGAGCAAGACCCCCAGCGAGATGGGTTGGCAGAGTGGCAGCATCAGTGGGCTCAAGCGTGCCAACAAATGTGAGGTTGGCCCAGGACCAGGCAGTGTTTCATTCTGTTGTACATGGGGTCTCTATGAGTTGGTACCAACTTGATGGCACCTAAGAACAACAACAACATGACAGTACTTAAACAACAGCAACAGAAACTGAAAGGTTAGTGATTTAAATCCATCCAGTAATACCACAGAAGAAAGGACTGGTGATCTGCTTCCATAAATGTTATAGCTTTATAGAGAAACTGTATAGAGCTCAGTTCTACTCTGTAACACATAAGTTCACCATGAGTCTGGAACTGATGAAGTGGCATCAGGTTTGCGCCTTGCCTCAGCCTTCGTGCATTCCACTTTCTGTGCTTTCTGTGGTAGCCTGATCCAGTCGCTTCCTGATCCTGGGTGCTCATGGCTGTCACTCATCTTCCCAGCCCAGCATGTATGTTCATCTTTTTCCCTCTGGGTTTCCCTCTAGTCTGAGAGTGCCTGTAGATGAGAACTAGTATTAGGTCAGCTGGCAGTGATACATGGATGCTTTATTATTAGAAAATTCCAAGCATACAGTAAAGGTGAGAGAATAATACCATCAATACCTGGTATTTTAAATGTTTGTTACATCACAAAGAATGTGCTTATCACTCTCCTCAGAGTAGAGATTTCAATATAAAATGAATCAAGAAGATCAGTTATAAAAGAGATACCAGCTATTCCCCATTTCTCTTCTCTCTTCCACTCTAACACCTCAAAAGAGTTGTGTATATTCTTTCTGTCTAGTGTTAATCTACCTATTTTTTATAATTCTTTTTAAAAACTTGGTTCATTTTGTATTGTTGAGAATGTGCTCAGCAGAATACGCACCAATTCAACAATTTCAGCATGTGCAGTTTAGTGACATTGATCACATGCCCTGAGTTAACCATTCTGAGTTGTTCCTCCCTCATTAACATAAACTCACTGCTCGTAAAGGTTCGAGTTGCTGTTGTCATTTTATTCCATACAGATAGTTCTTAAAAGAGCAAAATGTTCAAGGCAGCTTGTTCTACTATTTAAGCTAAATTATAGTTTGATTTTAAGAAGACTTCAGGGGATATTTTTAGTTTAAGGTTTAAAATGTTCAGGTCAGTAATTTCTGGAGCTCATCTACCTTCTCAAACTCCAGAAAGTCTAGAGCCCATGAGAATTTGAAATTCTGTTCTGCGTGTTCTCCCTTTTGATTGGAATTCTTGCTTTTTTTTTTTTTTTAATTAAATTTTCTATCGTAATGTCGTTGTTATTGTTAATTGCTGTTGAATCGGTTCCGACCCATAGCGACTCTGTATAGGGTTTCTAGGAGCAGCTGGTGAGCTTGAACCACCAACCTTGCAGTTCAAACGGGTTTATAGTCTGGCGCATTAACCCACAGTGCCACACCAGGACTCTATAGTAATAGTGAGGTTTGATTCCCCCCCCCCCCAAATTGTATTTATTTTGTTGTTGTTGAGAATATACATAGCATACACCAATCTAACAGTTTCTACCTTCACATTTAGTGACACTGATTACATTCTTGGGAGTTGTGTAACCGCCTTCACCCTGCGTGTTCCTCCCTGTTGTTCCTGAGTGTTCCTCCCTATTGACACCAACTCACAATTCCCCAAGGTTCCAGTCTAACCTTTCCAGTTGCTATCAGTTTGATCACATAAGTTGTTGTTGTTATGTGCCGTGGAGTCAGTTCCGACTCATAATGACCCTGTACAGGGTTTCCGAGGCTGTAAATCTTTATGGGAGCAGAAAGCCTCATCTTTCTCCCGAGGAGCAGCTGGTAGTTTCGAACTGCTGACCCTGAGGTTAGCAGCCCAATTCGTAACCACTACTCATAGATAATTCTTAAAAGGCCTTAGTGCTCAAGGGAGAGCTTTTTTACTAGTTAAGAAAAACTGTTTGGTTTTAAGATGACTTCAGGGGATATTTTTAGTTTAAGGTTTAAAGATTATTTCAGGGCAATAGTTTCAGGGGTTCCTCAACTCTCTGTGGCTCCAGAAAGTCTAGAGTCCGTGAGAATTTGAAATTCCACTTAGTAGATAATGTTACTTTAAAAAATTGTAGTACTTTAATTGCCAATTGTGACTTTAATGGAGTCTCTCAGGACTAATGGGCAAATGACTTTTTTTTTTTAAGCTTTTATTGTGAATCAAGTGATAGTTTACATGGGAGAACATTGGTTTTGTACTCAGCCAATCATATTTTGTTTCATTGCAATGAAACAGAGTTCTCAGCTGCTCTATCTCTCAATGCCATCGTCTCTGCCTCTATCTCTGGTGTCGCTGCTTCTCTGGTTAGGGTCCCATATTCTGCTCATGCTCTTCTCACTTGATGATCCTAGGGGCCTCTGTTCCTGGAATTAAGATGAACTACTCCCCTCCTTTATGTTACAAAAGTTCTACTTTTTACAGTTGTGACAATTGCAACAACAACTCAAATAGTGGGGTTTTGATGGAGATGGACAGATGTATATATTTATACGCTTAATCTACTTCTTAAACTGGAAATAAGCATCTTCAAAATTAACTACTAAAAAAAGTAAATGCTAAATTGTTTTACACGCTTACGTAAAAATAGTGATAAAATGTACTCATTGCAGAATTTAAAAATCGAGCAGTGCATCTTGGACTGTCCGTTAGCAGCCTGTGTGGGGTGAGCTCAGGGTTCAGCACCTGGGAAGTGTGTGCAGCAGTGACATGATTCTTTTAAATAGCTTCGTTTTCTAAAAGCCTGACTATTCTAACAGAGTCGTTTTCTGACAGTTTATGTGCATTGATGATGCTGTTTTATTCCAAACTGTCTATACAAATTTGGAGGCACAGACTTAGAAAAAAAATTTTTTTTAAGAAAAAGAATTTCTATTTTTGGCTATGAAATGGAATTCTGTTCAGCCTTACTCACTATCGTATTACAAGAGAAAAAAATCTTAGATTCTTTGATGAGTCATTTCTGTCAGATTTAATGTGACGGTAGATCATAGAGAGGAGCCCTGGTGGCACAGTGGTTAAAGTACTCAGCTAGTCATTGAAACATTGTCAGCAGTTTGAACTCACTAGCCACTCTGGGAGAAAACTGTAGCAGTCTGCCTCCCTAAAGATTAGCAGCCTTGGACACTGTATGGGCCACCTACTGTGTTCCATAGGGTCAATGAGAGTCGGAATCATCTTGACAGCAGTGGGTTTTAGATTGGTAAACTATAACCACCTAATACCTTAATGAGCGTACAACTGAAGGCCTGAGGCATTCACTTGCAGGACCAGTTCTTTCTTGTTCCCTTAACAAGATGTATCTCAACTTCAATACGAGTAAAAGAAAATCTCACTTATGCTTAAGCATCTAAGAAAGTCACTGACCTGTATCATCAGAAAGCTTAGAGTCAGGATTCAGGCTTAGTTGACTCTAGCAACTCAGGATATGATAATCACCGAGTCTTTGTCAGTCTTGGTATCTCTCTGCTTTATCTTCTATGGAGTTAGCGTCATCTTGAAACTGGCTATATTTGTAGTTGCAAAATGTGTGCTCTTAGGGCCGTTTGCTTTCACTTCCAAAAAGAGAGAGCACCTCTCTCACAAGGACTTAATAAGATTCAGGACTGCATTTTGATTTGGTCAGCAGAGAGAGGTCCACTGTGCACCCCTGAACCAATCACTAGCTAGGAGTATATCCCCCCACTGATGGTATAGGTCTGATTAGATGCTCGTTCTTTTCCTGTAGCCAGATATGCTGATTTGCCTACAAAATCAGGTGTCACCTATGAAGCCAGGTGCAGGGGTGGGGGTGGGGGGGACAGGAGGTGGGGGAGTGGGTGTATGTGCATCACTCCTACCCAAACTGCAAAGCTGTTACTCAATGGAAAATGATTGTATGCTTTCTGAGGCAGCAAAAACAATGTTCATTGCAGCAGCTCCACCGAATCAACCCTGTTCCTGTATTTGCAGGCTCTTCGCAAGAGAAGATAGCAAGCACGTGGTACAGATAGTAGGACTTCGAGAGCTTCAGGTGGACAGTGTGGATCTCCTTTTAGAGGTACCTCTTCTTTACTAACCCACTCTTGACACCAGCTTAAGTATAGAGAGTTTGTTGCTGTTTAGTGAGTATGATGAAGTCAGATTTAGGCCAAGGCCAATGACAGGCACACACCTTTTATTTTTTTTCTGAGAAGATAGCTTGTTTCTTTACTCAGTTCATGTCTCAGTGTCATAGTAATGGGAGGTGGCATGTGGGAGAACCAAGTGCATGCAGGGATTCTCTTGGACCTGTTTCAAGGACTGTCAATGTGTATTTCTATGGCAGTGACTCTTAAGAAAAGCTGCTGTTGAGAATTTTTAATAGGTAAACTTTCACATGGGTTCAAAATTCAAAAGGTACAATGAAAATGTTCTTCCATTCCTGTTCCTAAGCCATTTCCCTTTTCTTGAGGCAATTAATTGTATTCATTTTTTTGTTATTGTTTATTCTTTAAAAATCTCTTATTTAAAATTATCCTTTTATTCTGATAACAAAATTAATACTATACATGTTCATTATTAAAACCAAAACTTTCTAGAAATTTATGAATATAGAAAATAAAGACCCCCGCTTTCTTACTACACACAGCCCCCTCACTCCTTACTGAGATATCCATGATTAACAGTTTTAGGATATTTAGGCTTTTCCTATTCAGGACATTTATTAACGTATGTGCAAATACATTTCTGGCGACCCTCCCTTTAATACCGTGGTCCTCCACCTTTTCTGTACTTTAGATCATTCTTTACTTAAAAAAATTGCTTCTCCTTTATTGTAAAAAATGGCACTATACAGAAAAGTGCATAAACCTAAATGTTTACCAGATAAGGAATAATTACAAAATAAGTACCCATAATCAACCACTTAGATAAAAAACTAGAACATTGCAGCACCCCACACATCCCTTGTGTGCCCCAGAACTGCACCCTCATTATCCTGACTTTCATGTTTATGACTTCCTTGTTTATCATTCAAGTTTTGTTACCTGTGTCGTCAACTCTAAACCCATGAGTTTGCATGCTTTGAACATTATATGAACAGAAAAATATTGTATGATTCTTTTATGTCTTGGTTTCCTTACTCAACATTATACTATTGATTTCCACTTATGATTTTACATATAGATGTAGGTTTGTACAGTTTTTTAATTTGCTGTATTGTTGTTGTTGTTAAATGCCGTCTAGTTGATTCCAACCCATAGAAATCCTGTATAGGGTTTCCAAGGAGCAGTTGGTGAGCTTGAACCACCAACCTTGCAGTTCAAACAACTTTGCAGTCTGATGCATTAGCCCACATCGCCACACCAAGACTCCACACCAGTGACTAAAATATTCGGAAGTATTTTGTCTCTCCTTCTTCATAGTCTGTCTTAGTCTGGAAGCTCATCTGAAACCTTTCCACTATGGGTGACCCTGCAGGTATTTAAAATACCCATGGCATAGCTTCCAGAATCACAGCAACTCACAATGCACCACAGTATGACAAACTGACAGGCGAGTGATGGAGTATGAGTATCCCTGAACATTTCTTTGTGCTCATGCAGAATCTTTACATGGACCAAGAGGCAGTTTTTTGATCCCCTCAGTGCAAACCCCCTTCCAAGACTAAGACTCAGTGGGAATACACGCTGTGATTGGTGGCCATGCTCGACACCGATAAGGGGAAGTGAGGGAAAAACAGCAATGAAGCGGTGAGCTAAGCCCTACAACGTTCAATAGACTTCTGTGAACCCGAGTGAAGACCTGGTTAGCCAGCAGTGTGGCAAGACCTGGGGACTCTTGGGCCCAGAGTCAGTGACATAGCCACAGAGGACTAGAGCGGAGAGTGAAGTGTCCAGCTGATAAGAAGAGAGGGCATATGCATAAGAACACCCATACTTGCAGATAATACCCACTTATCCTGGCTTCAGTGACTGGATGATCAGAGCTCAACCAGAAGTAAAAAGAAGAGGAAAAAAAAAGTATTCTCATACAATTTGATGAACTTGACCTACACCTATGGAAACAGTAGCTCAAAAGAGGGAACAAGTCCTTACAGCAAGAATCATTCCCACCCCCTCCACACACAGAGTAGACAGGGATGGGCAACTTGGACATTGGCTACCCAAAATGGGTGGGGAGGGGGGCGGGGGAGGCTACAAAGGCAAGAAGTGACTGGCTTACAAGCTTTCAAGAGGGAACCTAGATCCAGAGGGCTTGGAGGAAGGTAGAATTTCCAATGAGTAGTATTCAATCTGTCTGGGTGGGGTTGATGCAATGAAATGCACACGGGTTTCTTGTGATACAATAGTGAATAATTGTTATCAGGACTGATTGTAAGGGTTGGAAATGTAAAGGTAGACGTTTTATAGCAAGGAGGGTTGTGATTAACTTTTCAGTCTAGGAGCGGAGGTCCGTAGGACCATCAAGAGCAGAGAGCGGGACCCTAACCAGAGAAGCAGTGATGCCTGAAATGGAGCCAGAGATGATGACGTGGAGCAATGGAGCAGCTGGAGACTTTAGTCCCAGAGAGGGAGAGCGACTGTGTGCTGAAGACCTGGGGGGCACGGGGGGAAGGATTGCATGGAGGGGATTGTAACCATGGCAGTGAGACGATATACGATAGAATGAATGTAAAACTAATGTTCTCCCATGTAAACTATCACATAATTCACAATAAAACATTAAAAAAAAAAAGAGGCAGTTGTTTGAACAGAACATGGGAACACTGAATGGTTTAAAATTAAGAAAGATGTGCGACAGGGTTGTATTCTTTCACCATACTTATTCAACCTGTATGCTGAGCAAATTATCCCAGAAGCTAGGTTCTATAAAGAAAAACGTGGCATCAGGATTGGAGGAAGACTTGTTAACAACCTGGCAATATGCAGATGATACAACCTTGCTTGCTGAAAGTAAAGAGGACTTAAAGTATTTCCTGATCTAGATCAAAGAGCACAGCCTTAGGTATGGATTGCATCTCAATGTAAAGAAAACAAAAATCCTCACCACTGGATCAATGAACAACATTCTTTTCAACTGAAAAAGATTGAAGTTGTCAAGGACTTCGTTCTTCTTGGATCAACCATCAACACTCATGGAAGCAGAAGTCTAGAAATCAAACGACATATTGCACTAGCAAATCTGCTGCATAAGACCTTTAAAATGTTGAAGAACAGAGATGTCAGCTTACTTAAAATGTCACTTACATAAAGGTCTTGACCTTTAAAGTGTTGAAGAACAGAGATGTCAGCTTGAGGACTAAGGTGTGCCTGACCCAAGCCATGGTATTTTCATTAACCTCATATGCATGCGAAAGCTGGACAATGAATAAGGAAGACTATAGAAGAATTGATGGTTTTGAGTTTGGGTTGGAGGAGAATATTGAAAGTGCCATGGACTGCCAAAAGAACCAACAGATCTCTGTGTAGAAAGAAGTGCAGCCAGAGTGCTCCTTGGAGGCCAGGATGACCAAACTTTGTCTCTCATACTTTGGACATATTGTCAGGCGGGACCAATTTCTGGAGAAGGGTATCATGCTTGGTAAGGTGGAGGGTCAGAGAAAAAGAGGAAGACCCCCAGGGAGATGGCTTGGCAAAGTGGCAGCATCAGTGGGCTCAAGCATGGCAACAATTGTGAGGATGACCCAGGACTGGGCAGTGTTTCGTTCTGTTGTACATAGGGTCGCTACGAGTCGGTAACCGACTCAATGGCACCTAACAACAACAATAACCCCATTATATGAATACACCACATTTGTTTATTTATTCTATTCTTAAAGATATTTGCGTTGTTTCCATTTGAGAGCTATTATGAACAATGCAGCTGGGAATGTTCTTACACATGTATTTCAGTGCATATGCACTAAGTTCTCTAGAGTGTATTCCTTTTGTGGTTAAGTATTTTTGAGTTGTTTCCAATTCATAGCGACCTGTATAGGCTTTCCAAGGAGTTGCTGATAAGCTTGAACTGCTGACCTTGTGGTTAGCAGTCCAGTGGTTATCCTACAGTGCCATGCCAGGACATCTAATTGTGAAATTATTGGGTCAGAAGACATATATATCTGTTCAACTTTACTAGATAATGCTATTTTCCAGACTCTTGCATAGGCAGTATGTGTGAGCAGTCCCATTGCTTTACAGCCTTGCTGCTTTAGTCTACTGATAGATTTTAAATTGTGTTGCAACTTTGAAGGTATTTAATTATATCTTATTGTGATTTTAATTTGCATTTCCCCCTTATTGATATTGAAATGGAATATTTTTTCACATTTGATCATTTGGATCTTCTCTTTTGGGAAATGCCATTTTGGGTTTGTTCTTCATTTTGAAGCTCTTTTTCTTGCTGATAGTTAAGAACTCTGTTTTCTGGATGTGTTTTGTCAGGTATTTGTGCCATAGTCTATTGTCTCATACTGTGACTGTTCAGTTTCATCCTAATGTCCTTTAGAGTCTGAGTCCACAAGAGGTGCAGCCCAGCATGGCTTACTATGATTATTTTAAGTTGAAGTATCATTCACATGCTATAACATTCACCCTTTTAAAGTGTACAGTTCAGGGATTTAAAAAATGTATTTACATAGTTGTACAACTTTCACCACTATCTAATTTTAGAACATGATCATCACCCCCAAAAGAAACCCAATACCTATTAGCAGTCACTTTCTATTTCCCCTCTAGCCAGCCCATGATAACCACTAATCACTTTCTGCCTCTAGGGATGTGTCAACTCTGGTCATTTTATACAAATGGACTCATACAATATCTGGTCCTTTGTGACCGAGTTTTTTCACTTAGCATGTTTTCAAGGTTCATCCATGTTGCAGATTCTCTTTGTACTTCATTTCTTTTTATACTTGGATCAGATTCCATTGTGTGGCTATACCATACATTGTTTATCCATTCATTAGTCAAAGGACATTTAGGTTGTTTCTACTTTTTGAATCCTGTTATGAACACTTGTATACCAGTTTTTGTGTGGACATATGTTTTCAGTTCTCTTGGTTACATGTACAGAGTAGAATTGCTGGGTTGTACCTTT